AATTTATACGTGAACAAAACCTTATCTCAAACAATAGCTCATTTGAAGAGTTTTATTCGTTTGTGGTTATTATATGAGCAAGTTTTTCTCCTTCCCTTCTATGTTAGTTTTCTGTCTTTGTGGGTTTCATAAGTAGAACTGGTGTATCGTACAAGTGGTTGTTAGTTAAGTTTTTGTAGTGTTCTCGGAAAAAACTGCATGTATTCCATTATCTTGATTTTATAACTCCTAATCCAAGCTGACTTATATACAATTATAGTCTCCATCTCTGCTTTTATTGATTACTTTAGTGTTAGGAGTCTTGACTCCTGGATATGATTGAGTAACTAAATTCCATAAGGTATTTATAAGTTTTGCTTTCACAAGGAATGTCAATTCATGCGTGGACATTTGAAATGTCATTCAAGATAAGGAGTGTCACTTTACTAAGATAGTTTAATTCATAATCGATTCATATGATACATCCTAAGTTTTCTTCTTCTTATTTTCTCTGGGTACAGAAAAGTTATATAACCAAATGACTACCGATTTTTTTTTAAACCAAATTTTTAAATCTTTCCAAACTTCAACTTTTCCAAAAAAACAATATTTTCGGTTGAAAACAATCTTAAAAGTAAAACACAAAAAGAAGTCTTGAAAACATACCTGCGTGTACACGCGACTGTTCAACTAGTAAAATTAAAGAATCATGAATCACTCCGCTTAAAAAATAATTGTAAACTTTTAACCAAAAAAGTTTATATATTTCAAATGGGAAATGCAGCAAAAAAAAAAAGTGAATAACATGATTATGATCATGGTTTATCTCCAAGCTTGAAAGACTTATGATCAAAAGAAAATAAAACAATTTCTTTAAAAAACAAAAATCGAAATAGTAAAATAAATTCATTTTTTATGAAAGTAATCTTAATCAATTTTTTTACCTTTTTCCATGTATCAACAAAAATTTAATTTTTTTAAGTATAAAAACATATGTTAATATATAATTTTATTATAGTAGCCACATAAACGCGGGTCCTGATCTAGTCATTATATAAG